AACCTAACAATAAAAGTATATATCATAGAATAATAATTTGAGTCTACAAATTTTTTAAAGAAATTATTTCGAAAATGAAAACTAATAATATGTAATTGTTTAGTTATTATTTATTATATTGAAAAATTAAATAAAAAAGTAGAAAAGTAAAGAATTGAACCTCATACGTTTAGTGCACAATATGACCCCTCAATCATATGAACTACCCTTCTTTTGTTGAACAATGGCACAATTAATTAATATTTAGTTATTATTTACCTTGTTTAAAAATTGAAAGAGAAAATATTGTTGAACGGATTCTTACTTGGGCATTTCATGTGGAAATGTGCCTTCACTCCCAAACAATTTATATATATAATATATATATTTATTGTATGATTGTTACTAAAACGCTATGTAAATTGTTTGGGATATATATATCATAAATCTTATTTAAATTTTTTTCTCAGCGGATCTAACATAGGCGGCCATCCCGGCTCGTTGGGTGACGGATCCGCCCATGCTAATACCTACCATATTTTATATATATAGACAAGTGCATTTGGGGTTCTGGCTTCATCTGATGTTTATGGTACCATGCTCTGGGTTTAAGGTAGGGCTTTTAAGAGTTCGGCAAGGAAATTATACACCAAAAAGGATTTAGCAAAAGGCTCCTCTCTCCAAAGATATAGCCGTACACAGATCCCGATAGAATGCTCTACTCACTTCCGAGCGTTTTCCTCCAAAAGTTTCCTTCTATTTGTTAATTTAGCCCTTGTTTGACCCCTATTACATTATATTATATTTTTCTCTCTCTTCATTTCAACGACACATTTATCAAATAAAATAATATTACACAAATTAAAAAAAATTTAACCACATATTCTCTCATTAATCACTATTCTAAAAATTTTCGACCACCAAAAATGCAAAATAATGGGGGCCAAACAGGACTTAAAGAGATCTGTTTTGCTCTCTTGAGGGGAGAGAGGAGTTTTTTGTTAGCCAAATGTTTTTCTTGTTCTCATGAGATTCTGCAACAAAACTACAGAAGAAATTTTAAGTTTTTTCAGATGAAGAATCAAAATATGATAATTACAAATTTTAGTAGTAATATTATTTTTAAACCAGTGTATATAAATGTATATATAAAAAACCTAAACCACCAAATTTTTGGGTCTAAATTTAAGTCCAAGTTGAGACCCAATTAAATACAATGTTTCCAAGCCCTCCATTCTTTCATACAATACAAGTTAGTCCTTGTACTTTATATTTTTCTCCACCTTTTGTTTGTTTCTTTCAATTCTTTTTTCATCAATAGAGTTTCACATATTAAACATAAAATACAACAATTTAAAATATATTTTATCAAAAGAGCTATCAAATATCGTTATTTTACGTCTCGAATAAGTGTAAAAAATTACACTTATTAATACTCCATAAATAAGGATCGTGCTACACGAACATAGGGGGATGACGAAACACACACACAAGAGGATTGTCATTTTTTAATTCAAACGGGACCCACGCGCAAATGTGAGGGTACATCAGTTCTTGTAGCACGACCCTTCTATAAATAATGTCTCAAAAACCCAGAATGAGAGTGTGCCCGTCTGCACTTTGTTTAGAGCAGTAGCCTCTCTCTCTCTCTCTCTCTCATATTATGGGAATTGGACGTATTGCAAGGGAAAGATTTTCAAGTATTGCAGTTCACCTTTGACGTAAAAGGTTTCAAATATCCTTTGTTTTCAAAATTATCATTTTTTCAATAAATGTACATTTAGAAATGACACTACTAGAAGATGCGGCTTCAGAGATAGTGATGGCAATCGAGCCGAGCGGCTCGTCGGCTCGACCGCTCGGCTCGTACTGTAGCGATCCATGAGCCGCTCGGGCTTGTCAAAAGA